GTACAACTCTGCTAAAACATTTTCTAAGTCTAAAGCTGTTGGCTTGGCACGAATAAGATAAGGTTGTCTTTCTTCGGAAGAAAGTTCATGAACGTCTGCCAAATGGTTTGCCAATCTTTTTAAAGCTCGCTTGCCGCAGATGCGACAATCTTTACACTTCCGAGGCATAATGTCATATGATAAATGTCAACTGATTCCTAACATTAAATAGTTGTGGCCACAAAGGCCTTTTTAAAGGTTTGCCGGGACGTGGGAGAGGGTTAGAGAAATGGGTTAGGGGAAAATAGCTACCACACAGGATCGTATTTTATTTTATTTTTATAAACCAAACACAACACACATCACATCAATCACATCATCACATCTCCTCAATCGTCAGCAAGGCTAACAGGGTGCTCGGTCTCCTGAAGAGAACCTCTCATCACATCACATCACATCACATCACATCACATCACAGACACCAAAGTTAGACGCACACTTTATCTAGCCTTGGTAAAGTCGCAGCTGTGCTACGCAACTGAGGTTTGGTCACCTTCAAACGCAAAGTTGCAGATTCTCTTAGAACGAGTACAGAGACGGGCAACTCGATGGATTCTAAGAACTAAAGTTGGTGAGCTGTCATATGAAGACAGGCTGAAATCTCTAAACCTATTGCCACTAACTTATGATCGAGGAATCAGAGATCTTGTGTTGGTTTATAAATGTATTTTTGGTCATACCGATTTAAACATTAATCAACTTTTAACCTTCGTAGAGCACAATCGATCTCGCGCACAAAATCCAGCCCTAATGTTAAAACACTCCTGCTGTAAAACATCCACCTTTCAGGCATCGTTTTTTAATAGAATAGTTAAGCCTTGGAACTATATATGTAAAATAGCCTCTCCTGAAAAGTTTGCCAATGTAAATATTTTTAAAAGCTTATTGCACAAGACATACACCGCCTTGGTGAACAGTACTTTTAATGTAGATATGACATGTACTTGGTCGCTCATAAGAGACTGCCCTTGTCACCGTACTTAAGTCCTAAGTTATATATGTATATATTCTGTATAGTAAATAAGTTTGTTTTCACTAGTTTAGGGGTGGCGCCCTGCATGGGTCTCGTTGTGCCGTATGCGCTAGCCCCATTGGACGTATACCCTGTAATTTTCTTTGTTTGTATAATAATATGTAACCTTTTATATGTATGTCCAATAAAGCTGTTAAAAAAAAACAAAAAACAAAAAAAAACAACAAAAAAACCCAACAAACAACCATTAAGGGTCAATGTCACGAGGAGACCATGTGTTTCTGAAAAGTCTTTTCAAAAGAAATTTTCTCTTATCAATAGCGGCCTCTAACGCTTCCCTGTGGTCGAAATTATCATTGTTGACAAAAACATCCCTGGTTTCCATAATCTTTTTGTGTAATGGATCCCTCTTTAGTTGTCGTATCCATAGTAGACGTTCCAGATAAATATTCTGCAAGCCTTTACGAAGTTTTGGTAGGATAAGTAAGTATGCCTTGTCTTTAACTTCGTTTTCGTCAAAACCTTCTGCAGTAAAATTCTGCGTTAGTTCTTCAAATTCCGACAAACTTTGTTGGGCTGCTTCAGCTTTTAAAGGAGCCCATGGATCGCTTTCGTATTCATCACCTACTTTACTACTAGTATCATCTACATTATCAGAATCACTTTCCGACGCAGAATCAGTTTCCACTTCGTTGTCAGTGTTACACGAATTCTCAACATCACTCTCTGATGTAGCACTATCAGAATCTGCGGTCGTTCTCATTCTTTTCATTTTTAGACTGAAATCTGTAGTAGGTTTCCAACAGTACTGTATTTCCTTTGTATATAGTTAGGTTGAGACAACTCCAGCCACAACCAACCGGCGAATGATCAATATTTTGAACAACATTACATTTTATGAAGTGTCCCTAAGGGCCTTTTATATGGCCTTATGTTACGATTGATGATTGGCAGGGCTACTTCCCACCAGGCCTCCCCACCAAGAGAGTTCTACAGAATCGGGTCACGAGGCCATATAAAAGGCCCTTGGGGCCAAATCGGAAAGTGCCCCCAAGGGCCTTTTCTATGGCCGTGTGGCCCGATTGGCAAGGATACTTCCCATCAAGCCACCCCGTCAAGAGAGTTCTAGAGAATCGGGTCAAGAGGCCATATAAAAGGCCCTCGGGGCCAGTGCGGGAGTTGTCCCCAAGGGACTTGTCTACGGCCTCGCGACCCGATTGATGATTGGTTGGGATGGGCCACTTTTGGCATTGGCCCCAAGGGCCTTTTATATGGCCTCGTGACCCGATTCTGTAGAACTCTCTTGGTGTGGAGGCCTGGTGGGAAGTAGCCCTGTCAATCATCAATCGGGACACAAGGCCATAGAAAAGGCCCTTAGGGACACTTCATAAAATGTAATGTTGTTCAAAATATTAATCATTCGCCGGTTGGTTGTGGCTGGAGTTGTCTCAACCTAACTATATACAAAGGAAATACAGTACTGTTGGAAACCTACTACAGATTTCAGTCTAAAAATGAAAAGAATGAGAACGACCGCAGACTCTGATAGTGCTACATTAGAGAGTGATGTTGAGAATTCGTGTAACACTGACAACGAAGTGGAAACTGATTCTGCGTCGGAAAGTGATTCTGATAATGTAGATGATACTAGTAGTAAAGTAGGTGATGAATACGAAAGCGATCCATGGGCTCCTTTAAAAGCTGATGCAGCCCAACAAAGTTTGTCGGAATTTGAAGAACTAACGCAGAATTTCACTGCAGAAGGTTTTGACGAAAACGAAGCTAAAGACAAGGCATACTTACTTATCCTACCAAACTTCGTAAAGGCTTGCAGAATATTTATCTGGAACGTCTACTATGGATACGACAACTAAAGAGGGATCCATTACACAAAAAGATTATGGAAACCAGGGATGTTTTTGTCAACAATGATAATTTCGACCACAGGGAAGCGTTAGAAGCCGCTATTGATAAGAGAAAATTTCTTTTGAAAAGACTTTTCAGAAACACATGGTCTCCTAGTGACATTGACCCTTAATGGTTGTTTGTGTTTGGTTTATAAAAATAAAATAAAATACGATCCTGTGTGGTAGCTATTTTCCCCTTACCCATTTCTCTAACCCTCTCTCACGTCCCGGCAAACCTTCAAAAAGGCCTTTGGGGCCACAACTATTTAATGTTAGGAATCAGTTGACATTTATCATATGACATTATGCCTCGGAAGTGTAAAGATTGTCCCATCTGCGGCAAGCGAGCTTTAAAAAGATTGGCAAACCATTTGGCAGACGTCCATGAACTTTCTTCCGAAGAAAGACAATCTTATCTTATTCGTGCCAAGCCAACAGTGGTTAAAGTTAGAAACAAAAACGGAATAAAACTCTTAAGTGGATAATATATTTATACAGACAAGAATTATTAACTCTGTAGTACTTAATTAAAGAAATAAATGTACTCTGAAAATGAAATTATGTGCTTTTGCCTATTTTATGCCCGCGCTCTGTTCCCACGCTTATAATAGCCCGGTATTATCCTTCAATATCCCTATTATGATGTACACTGTACGCATCTTATCGCTAATGATCGTTTAATGACCGCAGGTGTATGCAAATAGCGAACATAACAACGCATAGTAACCATAGATATCTTAACGCGTGCATGTGCTTACTTCGCTTGGTGTATTTATTAACATTGAACATTGTGAACTAAAGTGTTTTATATATACTGTTCTAACGTTTCATGCATATTATTTCATGCACACTGGTTTTCGCTCCAGTAATATAGATAACCCAAAATAGCTTGGTAGTCTAAAAATTCTGATTTATATCTCAAATCCTTTAGGAATTCAAGAGTTGTTTCATAATTTTTAGTCAAGTTCTCATAATGTTCTCTTACAACTTCGTAATAATCCAATTTCTGCACACGAATAGCTTTGTTAAACAGCTTCCAGAGTATTCCCCGTTCGATTACTTGCTCGATGGCGTCCAAACCGTACGTTGTCCAACTTTCTTCAAGTGTCAACATGAGACATTCATGTCTTCTCTGACTCGGGTAATCCACTTTACAGTCACAACACTTTTCCTTACGTATTTTCGCTATTTCATCGGAAACAGCTTCAGAAAATATAGCATCCATCAGAACACATAAATGTTTCACTTCATAAGATGCAACTTCGTCCATTAGTAAACAAAATGTCGCACGCTCTTTCGATTGGAAAAAATTCATGTTCAAAGTATTTTCCTATCAATATCAGCATGTTGTTATTTAAATGATAACAGTATCCTCGTATTGTTATTTTACTAAAATCACCGTGTTATTATTTCAATGATAACGGCATTCTGTTTGTTTGATAAGACATAATTTTGTGTTAGATTTTAATGACCACGAGACGCTAATTGATGCTTCATTGAATTCGGTTTCATGATACCGATACCAGAATGTCATTATTTAAACGATAACGGTATCATATTGTTATTCTAATAAACAGTCGATATCACTAACTAAGATTCAAGGTATCGTGATCGCTAATTGATGTTAATTGATGTTAATTACTGTAAGCCTCACTACTTTTGAACGAGAGGACCAAATTCTGTTCGTAGGCTTACATAAGTTCGAAGATGTTTTCCCTGTCGCTCTTTTTCGTCTATTCTTTTACCATAAAATCCTCTAAAAGATGTAGCAGTTCCTCTCTCTTTGAATTACAAAACTATACTGACCCATGCACTGGTTTGCGTGTCATGATGTACACTTGTCATATAAACCCATTATGAGATAAAATAAAGGCTGATTATCTATACTAACAAATGTTCGACTGCTATGTGATCATTAACAGATGCGAGTGTCATTCACAATGATGCACTTATTTAGCTTAACGTCTTAATGTAGCTTTCCGATCCAACATACCGGCCCCTAAATGCGAAACTATTTATGTGAAGCATTTCCCAAACATAAATGGATCGAAAAGTAAAATTATCTATTAATAAATCTATAACATGCAAATATGTTCATGCAATATCAAACCGTTCACTTGGTTCTTCCTTCTCCTTCCATGTGTTCCACTGTCTCCAACAGGACTATCTTCGCCACCGGCCGGTCCAAGATTGTAGACTTCGTTCTCACCGAGACACTTCGCACGAGCTTATCTTTACTGTTCCGGTGAACGTCGACTATCCTACCCAACGGCCAGCTGCAACGAGGCGAGCTTTCGTCAACGAGAAGCACAATATCTCCCACGGCAAAGTTCCTTCGAGTGTTGGTCCATTTTTGTCGTTCTTGCAGACGTGGTAGATACTCTTTTACCCAACGTTTCCAGAAGATATCTGCAAGGTATTGGACTTGCCTCCATCTGCGACGCGAATGGGTATCGTTGTTGGTAAATACACCGGGGGAAACGTGGGATCCTTTCCGGAGCAGTAACAGGTGGTTTGGAGTGAGGGCTTCGAGATCTTTAGGATCGTCCGAGACTTTCGTAATTGGTCGGCCGTTCACAATTGCTTCGACTTCGCACATGAGGGTGTACAAACGTTCGTCGTCAAGCACTTGCTCTTTCGTAATTGCATTCAGAACCTTCCTTACCGTACGAATACAACGTTCCCAAACACCTCCGTGGTGAGATGCTTTGGGTGGGTTGAAAGTC